TGGATTAAATGCTCCAATGGAAAGACATAGGTAGCTGAATGGATACGAAAACATGACCCATATATATGCTGTCTACAAGAGCCCACCTCAGAACAAAAGACTCACACAGGATGAAAGTGAAGGGATAGGAAAAAAATTTCCATGCAAATAGAAACAAGTAAATAAAAAAGCTGGGGTAGCAATGCTCATATCTGACAAAATAGACTTTAAAACAAAGGTCATAGCAAGAGACAAAGAAGGACACTATATAATAAAGGGATTGATCCAACAAGAGGATATAAACCTGGTAAACATATATGCACCCAATATAGGAGCACCTAAATATATAAAATAAACTGCTGGAGAACTCTAAAGGGAGAGATCGACAGCAATACTATTGCAACAAAAAAACTTAACCAGGGAGGTGAAATAAAAAGCCTGTACTTAGAAAACTACAAGATGTTAAAAAAGAGATAGAGGAATACAAAAAAGTGGAAGTATATACTGTGTTCATGTATTGGTAGAATTAACATGATTAAAATGTTCACACTATCCAAAGCAATCCATAGATTCAATGCAATCCCTATTAAAATACCAAAGGCATATTTCACAGATCTAGAACAAATACTCCAAAAATTTGCAGCAAATTCTCAGACATCTCACATAACAGAATTTTCATTGACACATTATCTAGGAGGACAAGAGAAATAAAGGAAAAATAAATAAACAAATTTACTCAAACTAAAAAGCTTCTGCACAACAAAAGAAACCAACATTAAAAGGAAACCCACTGTATATAAGAACATATTTGCCAATGATACATCTGATAAGGGGTTAATTTCCAAAGTAAATAACATACTCATACAACTCAACAAAAGGAAGCAAACAATCCAATTAAAAATGGGCAGAGGACCTGAATAGATACTTCTCCAAAGAGGACATACAAATGGTTCTTAATAAAGAGACTTATTAAAAATGTTCAACATCACTAATCATCAGAGAGATACAAATTAAAGTGACAATGAGGTATCACCTCACACCTGCCAGAATAAGGCATCAATAAATCAACAAACAAGTGCTGCTGAGGATATGGAGAAAAAGGAACCCTAGAACACTGCTGGTGGAAATGCAGACTGGTACAGCCACTATGGAAAACAGTGTGGAGTTTCCTTACAAAATTAAAAATGGAACTGCCATTTGACCCAGTGATTCAACTTCTAGGAATATATCCTTAGAATCCCAAAACACCAACCAGAAAGAATATATGCACCCCTATATTCATGGCAGTGTTATTCACAATACTAAGATCTGGAAACAGCTCAAGTGTCCATCAATAGATGAGTGGATAAAGAAGTTGTGGAACCTTTACTCAATGGAATACTATGCAGCTATAAAAAAAGAAGGGTCTATTACCCTTAAGACAGCACGGAGGGACCTGTAGATTATTATGCTAAGCGAAATAAACCAGTCAGAGAAAGACAAATATCACATGATCTCACTTATATGTGGAATGTAATGAACAAAATAAACTGATGAATAAAATAGAACCAGAGGGGAGAAACCAAGATGGCGGCATAGGTAAACACCGGAAAGTGCTGCCTCCCACAACAACTTCAAAAATACAACGAAAAGACAAAATGGACATCATCCAGAACTACAGGAAGGCTGGCTGAGTGGAAATTCTACAACTACAAGGAAAGAAAAAAGCACAATGAGAGTCAGAGGAACTGCAGAAGTAAAGTGCAGAGGTACGGAGGCTCAAGCGCAGGCGGAAAGGGGCTGGCACCTGAGGACGTGGCTGTCTTTTTGAATTGGGAGGGAGTCACAAGCTCCCGACTGCTCTGAACTCCAGTTCCGGGAAGTCTCTGGGGACCCAGACTCATACAGGGAGAAACTGGACTGTCTGGCAGCAGACAGAACTCAGAACTCGAGGGCGGCTTTCCCTCAGAGGTGCTTGCAGCAATTACCGGGACACTGAGATGCGGGGCCTCTTAGGGCAGGGCTGAGGATCAGCCATAGCTACTTGCTCTGCCCTGTTGATTCCCTGAGACCCTGCCCCACCCAGGCTGCAGCAGAGGCTTTTGCATATGAATGCCCTGGCACTTTGCAATCTGAAAATTACCTAACAAATTACAGCTGGGCCAGACAGACCCAGAACTTCCAAGAGAAGGCCCAAGGCCCCACAGCAGCTTGCATTGCTTCACAGCTGGGCCTCATCTGGGCACCTCCAAACCCCCCAAAAAGAAAGGGGAATCTGCAGATCTCTTTGTAGCTCTGCTGAGTAGCCTCAGGCAGAGGCTAAATTAGCACCTCCTTAGAGATCCAAGAGCCAGTGTACCCAGTGATCAGAGTGGGACCATCCAGATTACAACTCAGATCCATAAGGGACACACTCAGGGGGCAGACTCAGTGAGCACCAAAGCCTCACTGAAGCAAGTCTTGCCCCAGAAGGGTGTCTTCAGCACAGAAGTTCTCCCACTGCAGACATAGCTGATTCTCACTGCCAATTGGCCTGGAGGTCAATTCCTCACAGTGATACCTACAACAATCAAGGCTTAACTACAACAACACTGTGCACAAAGCCCACAAAGGGGTGCACCAAGAGTGTCCACCTCAGGTAACTGGGGAGGCTGAGCCACTGGGCCCTATAGGACACCTAGCACAGGAAGCCACTCTATCAACACAGGGAAGCATAAAAAATGCGGAAACAAAGAAACAGGTCACAAATGACAGAAATGGAGGAAAGCAAACGACTGGATATAGAGTTCAAAACCATGGTTATAAGGTTTTTCAAGAATTTTCTGGAAACCGCCGATAAATTTAGTGAGACCCTCGAGGATATGAAAAAGGACCAACTAGAAATTAAGCATACACTGACTGAAATAAAGAATACTATACAGAGATCCAACAGCAGACAAGAGGATCCCAAGAATCAAGTCAAAGATTTGAAATACAAAGAAACAAAAAATACCCAACCGGAAAAGCAAAATGAAAAAAGAATCCAAAAATATGAAGATAGTGTAAGGAGCCTCTGGGACAACTTCAAGCATACCAACATCAGAATTATGGGGGTGCCAGAAGAAGAGAGAGAGCAAGATATTAAAAACCTATTTGAAGAAATAATGACAGAAAACTTCTCCTACCTGGTGAAAGAAATAGACTTACAAGTCCAGGAAGCGCAGAGAACCCCAAACAAAAGGAACCCAAAGAGGACCACACCAAGACACATCATAATTAAAATGCCAAGAGCAAAAGACAAAGAGAGAATCTTAAAAGCAGCAAGAGAAAGAAACTCAGTTACCTACAAGGGAATACCCATACGACTGTCAGCTGATTTCTCAACAGAAACCATGCAGGCCAGAAGAGAGTGGCAAGAAATATTCAAAGTGATGAACAGCAAGAACCTACAACCAAGATTACTTTATCCAGCAAAGCTATCATTCAGAATTGAAGGTCAGATAAAGAGCTTCACAGATAAGAAAAAGCTAAAGGAGTTCATCACCACCAAACCAGCATTATATGAAATGCTGAAAGGTATTCTTTAGAAGAGGAAGAAGAAAAGGGAAAAGATAAAAATTATGAACAGCAAATACACATCTATCAACAAGTGAATCTAAAAATCAAGTGAATAAAAAATCTGATGAACAGAGTAAACTGGTGAATATAATAGAACCAGGGGCATGGAAAGGGAGTGTACTGACAATTCTTGGGGGGAAAAGGGTGTGGGGGTGCAGGAGGAGACTGGACAAAAATCGTACACCTATGGATGAGGACAGTGGGAGGGGTAAGGGTGGAGGGTGGGGTGGGAAGTGGGTGGAGGAGAGCTATGGGGGGAAAAAAGAGGAACAACTGTAATAATCTGAACAATAAAGATTTAATTTAAACAAAAACAAACCCAAAACTACAGCTACATATAATAATAATAATAATAAAAAGAACCAGAGGCATGGAAACATGGAACAGACTGACAAATCTCAGAGGAAATGGGGAGGGAGGGAGAGGTTAACCAAAGAACTTATATGCATACTAGAGGCCCGATGCACAAAATTCATGCAGGAGGGGGTCCCTCAGCCAGGCCTGTACCCTCTCCTATCTGGGAGCCCTCGGGGAATGTCTGTTGCCAGTTTAGGCCCGATCCCTGTGGGACATCCCTCTCAGAATCCGGGTCCGCTGGCTCCTAACCGCTTGCCTGCCTGCCTGCCTGATGGCCCCTAACCCCTCTGCCTGCCTGATTGCCCCTACCTTGCCCCCCTGCTGGCCTGATCAACCCTAACTTGCTCCCCCTGCCGGCCTAATCGCCCCAAACCACCTCTGCCTCAGCCCCCAGCCTAAGCCACAGTCTGGTCTCCCTCTGCGGGAGGCGACCTGGTGGATCAGGGGAAGGCACCACCCTCATTACCCCGCAGCTGCTGCCACTGCCGGCCTGAGCCTGGGCCCTTCGCAGCCTCGCCTTAGCTCTCATGGCAGCTGCGGCTTTGTCTGGAAGGAGGTCCGAAAGGTCATCCGGAAGACGTCTGCTCTAATTAGCATATTATCCTTTTATTAGTATAGATATGCATTGCACATGAACACAGACAATAGGATGGTGAAAGCCTGGGGCAGGTTGGGGACTGAGTGGAGGAAGGCAATAGGGGAATAACAAGGGAACATCTGTAATATTCTCAATAATAAAGATTTTTTTAAAGAGAGTATGTTTTAAGAAACATGGAACATTTTCAAATATATGGCATCTTTTTCAAAGTAGCTACCTTAGATACCTTAGAAAACAGTTCTTACTAAAAAGTCAATTCACAATTAATGCAAAAGATATGGCAAAAAATGCAAACATTTACAAAAACTATGCCACAGAAAATTCCAATAGAGGAATTCAAAATGGCTTTAAGCAATGCAATATCACCAAAATAAGTGACAACTTTGAAAGAGAAAACATTCATTTGGATGTGACATATACAGGCTATTTTGTTAAAGAAAAAAAAAAGCAATCATCTTCTTTAGGTTATCTAATACAACCTTTCACATACCCAATACACCCATACTTGCTCAGTGTGCTTCTCATATTTTCAATGGAAGATGAATTTATGCTTGAAATGTACTCTTAACACAGCATGCCTTTCCTCTCTTTCATGTTATTCAGTTTCTAAAATCCAATGTCTTTTGTGATTGAAGAATTTGAACCTAATGGAAGAAAGGTTAACAGAAAATCTCCATGCAGGTAGAAAATTTGGGGATGACATTATTCTACTGAAATTGCTGGGCAGATGTTGAAAAGGTCAGTGGAATGAGTATAACTGACCAGCTCTTCATAGAGAAGAGACCAGAGAAAAGGAATGCTCCCAGGAGCAAACTGCAGTAAATCAGGAGTTTAGCAGTAGATAAAAAGAGCTAAAGCTGATTGATCCTAAGTTCCAGGAACTACATATGGTTATCCTTTACTGTGTTCCCAGCACCTAAGAATCACCTTTGTTATGTCAATGCAATGTCCTTTAGCCAATGAGAGATGTGGGGAAAATAGAAAGTGCGTAAGTACACTTGGAATACAATAATACACAAAAAGACACTACTCTGAAATAATTATAGTGGGAAATACCTGCTTCTAGAACCCAACTCCAGAAGCATGAACTATGTGGGAAAAGTCCAAGGACAGAAATAATGTGGAGGGAGAGGAAGAATATTAGATAAGAAGTTATATGCCCATTTGAAATTGGGAGGAAAACACATAGATGCAAAGGAGCAAAGTGCTATTTTATTTTGCAACAGCCTGACCTGTTGGGAGCAGGCCAGTCTGGTGAGATTACACCACCTTGAACCGTGACTAAGGAGCCAGGTAAGAGAGGTGTTGGCTGAAATGGCAGAGTGTGACCCCAGATGCGGTCAGGCTCCGGCAATTTGCCTCGTTTTGACTTTAGATGAAAGGAAAATCACTTCCAAGAGATCAAGCTCCAACCTATAAATGACGGCCGAAGAGAAGTCAGGGCCGGAGCGGGGTGAGACCTAGAGCACCCTGAAAACGTCCGGGTTTTGACTGGAGCTCGGCAGCAGGGCGCTGCAGCAGCCCACGCCGCTCTCCGCGCCCTCGCCAGGGGACCTCCGGAGAGCCTCCAGGCGGCAGCTCCAGGAGGTTCCTGTGAAATCCCAGTGAAAATGGGTAGGTCCACGCACCCACCTCCCGATGACAGGAGCTGCGGAGGGAGGAGGTCCGAGACACCAAACCGGGTCGGGGCGACGTCGCCGGGGGAGGAGCGGGGGCGGCGCCCGGCGGGGCTGGGCCGAAGGTGGTCCTTCCGACCCCGCACGCCCCCGACCTGTCAGCGGCGCCCGACCCCGAGTGGGCCGTTGGGTCTGGCGAAGGGAGGGTCCTTACCCATGTGCTGCGTGTCCAACTGCACGGCCGGCATCTCCTTCAGAGGAATGTGCCCCGTTCCGCCGTCTCTGCAGCACCGCAGGCAGCAGAACACCGAGGCGGCCATCACGCAGGGACCACTGACTCCTCTGCTGCCTGTCGCTCTTAGACCGCGGCGACCCCTCCCTCACCCCTCCTCTCTGCCTCGCGCCCCGCCCGAAAGCCGGAGGTGTCGGTGTGGAGCGCGCGGAGGCCCAGACAGCGACGCCCCTGGCTAGGAGGGCGCAGCGCAGGCTGAGGTGAAGGCCTAGTAGGCGGAAGAGCCCGGAATGCAGGCGGGGCGGGGCAGAGCTACAGTCAGGGCGGAGCAGGCCGGGGAGGGCGGGGCTAGAGTCAGGGCGGGGCTGGCCGGGGAGGGCGGGGCTGGCCGGGGAGGGCGGGGCTGGCCGGGGAGGGCGGGGCTGGCCGGGGAGGGCGGGGCTGGCCGGGGAGGGCGGGGCTGGCCGGGGAGGGCGGGGCTGGCCGGGGAGGGCGGGGCTGGCCGGGGAGGGCGGGGCTGGCCGGGGAGGGCGGGGCTGGCCGGGACAGAGGACGTGAACGTCAGGCGGCGGGAAGGACACGGCTGGCGCCTGCGCACGGGGTTTTCTCCCTTGGGGCGGCCTCGCGAGTGCAAACCAGTTCTTAGGGTGCGCGAGGGTGTCTGCGTCCTCTGAACACCGAGGAGTCATCGATGCTGTGCTTTTTTTTTTTTTTTTTTTTTTAAATTTTATTGATTTTTTACAGAGAGGAAGGGAGAGAGATAGAGAGTTAGAAACATCCATGAGAGAGAAAGATCGATCAGCTGCCTCCTGCACATCTCCCACTGGGGATGTGCCCGCAACCCAGGTACATGCCCTTGACCAGAATCGAACCTGGGACCTTTCAGTCCGCAGGCCGACGCTCTACCCACTGAGCCAAACCGGATTCGGCGATGCTGTGCTTTTAAAACTGCACCTCCCACGTCGACATTATCTTTAAAGATAAATTGACAAAGGCAAATCAGGCTGGGGGAGTGGGAGTTGATGAGAGCCCGGAGGTAACCACTCCGCGCGCCCGTGGCTGAGAGAATTTTGCCTCCACAGAGAGCCTCGGTCCCCCCACCAGGGCTGGTTTCTGAAGAATTTCCTCAAATCCTGAACAGACGCACAGGCCCCTGGAGTAATTGCACCTGGATGAGCACCCGAGTAGGCCCTGCTGCATTTTAGGTGCAGAGATAACGCATTTCTTGGCCCTTGATGCCTGCTGTCACGAGCGCGCTGGAGGCCACTCCAGGGGTGCACGGGGGAGCCCTCGGTTCTCTCTGCCTATTCCTTTCTGCTTTCACGTAAAAGGCTCACGTGGCGGTCACCTGTCATTTTCTTGCCTGTTTTGTCATCCGTCCCTGGTCAATTTAACATCTTCAGATACCACCTGGCGTCTAAAATGGACAAACTCGAGAATTAACCTAGCTCAGACCTCTGTTCCTAAATAAGGTTTTCATCCTGAAGGCTTTCCCAGGCTTCAAGTCTTGGAAAACCAGACATAAAATGCCCATTTAATATGTAATGGGTTCCTGTATGTAAATTTTTAGCGACTTGAGTACATATTCTTTATGAAGGATATTTCTCTGCGGAATAAGAGAATTTCTTCAGGGTCTCTTTGCTGTCTACAAATACTGTTTTGTACTTTGAGATTTAGTAAACATAGAATTAATAATCAAGGTGATTATTGAACTGGTTCACAGTAGACCTCCCTCACTGCTGTAAAGTAATGTCTTGGTAATCATTTTACACATGGAAGTTTCTCTTACTGAAATCCTTGACTATTATTCGGAGAAGTGTTAGTGTTCTGCTTTTCTTTCCACTGGGAAGGGAGGGAAAGTTGATATAGAATGTTGTAGAGAAATTTTTTCTGCCTGTCTGTGAGGTAAGCACTCTTTCACATATGTATCTAATTGGATTCTTAGAAGGTTTCAGGGTGGATATTGTTCCTCCCATCCCCATTTTATAGATGAAGAAATAGACTTAGAGGGATTAAATAATTTGTGTAGCTTCAGATGACTAGGAAATAAACAAGGTAGGATTCAAAGACATCAGTATGACTCCTAAGCTTGTGTTTGCTCCACCAGATCATGCTGCTTCTCAAATTCTGAATTTATCTTGTAATTAATGCTACAATCCTCTAAAAATGTCCTCTCAGCAAAATGAAGATTTGCAATTTATTTTTGTATGGCTCATTAATCTCCATATTGGCTACAAACTGTCATAACTTATATAGACAATAAAATAAAATTAGTTTTTATAAGGTACAATATTTGTTCAGAAATATTATTTAATGCATAACCTTTGGACACAGAAAACAGGGTGCTGAGGACCTGGGGCAGGGGGAGGGGGCAGGCTGGAAGAGTCAAAGGGGGAAAAAAGAGGACATATGTAATACTTTCAACAATAGAGAATTTTAAAAAAAGAAAAAAAGCAACATCAATGATGAGAGAGAATCATTAATTGGCTACCTCCTGTGAGCCCCCTATTGGGGCATGTTCCCTGACCAGGAATAGAACCGTGACTTCCTGATTCATGGGTCGACCCTCAACCACTGAGCCACACCAGCCAGGTTCAATTTACCATTTTTAAAGTATAGTATTTCTTGCCCAGTTGGCATGTCTCAGTGGTTGAACATCGACCTATGAACCGAGGAGTCATGGTTCCATTCCTGGTTAGGGCACATGCCCGGGTTTTGGGCTTGATTCCCCAGTGGGGGGCATGCAGGAGGCAGCCGATCAATGATTCTCTTTCATCATTGATGTTTCTATATCTCTCTTCCTCTCCCTTTCTCTCTGAAATCAATAAAAAAATACATTTTTAAAAAGAAATATTATTTAAAGTAGTACATGTATTAAATATATAATAAACATTCAGGTCATTTAAGTAGGTCATATCTTCAATGAAAGCCAGCTCTTAGATGACTGTGAATTGACCATTACTATACAGGCAGAATTGCCATAGTCTTTCCTGGCTAGAAAAATAATCGGCTGGAGCATTGCCCAGTGCACTTTGCCCCCATGGTAGCAATTCAAGTGTGCTCAGCATATGAAGCCAGCAAAACCCATTAGCTCCTAAAACGGACTTACCTGTCTTGGCAGATGAATGCCATTCATGAGCTCGCAGACCTTACTTCTTCTTATATCTGGGATTCTATTATTCTTTCATTATTCTTTTCAAAGGAATTATCCTTTCTTTTTGAAAAGCACAGTGCTAAAGATTTTTTGACAGTCTTTTACAGTTATCACTTTAAATAACAACCACAAATAAAGCCTACAAAAAGTTTTCCAATAGTTAGAAGGTTGTTTATCTAAGTCAAAAGCAATTACAGAGAATTACTATTTTTTTAAAAAAAAAGTCTATTTGCTTCAACAACATATGCTAGGAACTCTACAACTGATGGGACAGTAATGTAAAGCATGTATTTCCAAGTTGAGTGTAGCGTCATGTTAGGATTTTATTTTTATTTTTTATTTATTTATTTTTATATTTTTAAATTTGATTTTAGAGAGGAAAGGCAGAGGGAGAGATAGAAACATCAATGATGAGAAAATCATTGATCAGCTGCCTCGTGCACGCCCCCTACTGGGATCAAGCCCACAACCCTGGCATGTGCTCTTGACTGGAATCGAACCCGGTCCACTTCAGTCCGCAGACTGATGCTCTTATCCCAGTGGTTCTCAACCTGTGGGTCGCAACCCCTTTGGGGGTCGAACGACCCTTTCACAGGGGTCGCCTAAGACCATCGGAAAACACATATATAATTGCATATTGTTTTTGTGATTAATCACTATGTTTTAATTATGTTCAATTTGTAACAATGAAATTGGGGGTCACCACAACATGAGGAACTGTATTAAAGGGTCGCGGCATTAGGAAGGTTGAGAACCACTGCTCTATCCACTGAGCAAAATCAGCTAGGGCTATTTTTATTTTTGAATTTAAAAATATTTTTGAAAGGGCAGTGGGGAAAGAGAGATAGGAGAAAATAAAGGGGGGATAAATGGTGACAGAAGAAGACTTGGCTTGGGGTGATAAACACACAATACAATATACAGATGATGTATTATAGAATTGTACCCTATATACTTTTACCTATATAATTTTATTAACCAATGTCACCCCAATAAATTTAACAAGAAAACAAAAGTCAAAAAAAATTTCAATTATAGTTGACAATATTTTTCAATATTATATTAGTTTCAGGTATACAGTATAGTGGTTAGACATTTATATAACTTACAAAGTGATCCGCCTGATAAGTCTAATACCCACCTGGTACCATTCATAGTTATTAATAACATTATTAACTATATTCCCTATGCTCTACTTTACATTCTGGTGACTATTTTGTAACTGCCAATTTGTACTATTTAATCCTGTCACCTTTTTCACCTAGTCCCCCAAAACCCCTCCTAACTGGCAACTACCAGTTTGTTCTCTGTATCTAGAGTCTGTTTCTGTTTTGTTTCTTCATTTATTATGCTTTTTAGAGTCCATATAGGTGAAAACCATATGGTATTTGTCTTTCTCTATCTGACTTATTTCACTATTACCGTATAGATCCATTCATGTTGTTGCAAATGGTAGGATTTCTTTTTTATAGCAGAGCAATATTCCATTTTATAATGTACCACTTTTTCTTTATCCAGTAATTCTTTGATGGAACCTTAGATTGCTTCCGTATCTTGACTATTGTAAATAATGTTGCAATGAACATAGGAATGCATATATCTTTTCATATTAGTGTTTTGGATTTCTTCGGATAAATACCCACAAGTGGAATTGCTGAGTCAATATTTTTTGTATTTATTTATTACTTTTTTTTCTTTCCCTTTAATATTCTCTATCCCCCTTCCCTCTGGTAACCACCATCCTGTTGTCTGTGTCTATGAGTTTTTGTTTGTTTGTCCTGCTTGTTCATTTGTTGCTTTCAGTTTTATATCCCACATGAGTGAAGTCATATGGTTCTTAACTTTTTCTGTCTGACTTATTTCACTTAGCATGATAGTCTCAAGATCCACCCATGTTGTTGTTGCTGGTGAGAATGCAAACTGGTACAGCCACAATGGAAAACAGTATGGAGGAAACTTAATTTTTGAGGAAACTT